TGGCTGCTGACCCAAGTTCTTTAAAGAGCTGAATCTTTCATTGAGAGAAGGGTCAATATGGGATACAAGGAAATTCTGGAGAAGGAGTCCAGAAATCCCTATAGAAAGATGCAGGCAGAAGGGTCAGTGGAATCATGGCTGGGAGGGGTGAAATGGGGGACTGTCAGCTTAGAGAGATTCTTGATCCTCATGGCTCTGTGCCAGTCTGCTTCCTGTCTCACTGATGTGAACGTCAGGGGGATCCAGTACATGAGGGTACTGGACACACAAGATGTTCTGTGGGTGATTCTGAAGTGGCCCGAGGGGCCCTGTACACGGTATACCTGGCACTGGATGAATGCTGGCCCGTGATGCAGCAGCTCCTGTTACTGGAGAAGGTGCTGGTGTGAATGGTCGCTGTGGGGGGTTGTGGGAGCTGTGGACCAGTAGGTTGGGCACATTAGGTGGTCGGTGGTATGAGATGGAGGGGCAAGGGGGGTTCTGGGAAAACGGTTCCAGCTGAGGGGTCTCCCTGAAAAACAGAGAAATCATCTTTTTCTGATCCAGGGAACAGAGAGGAAGTCGGCGTCAGGGAAGCAGCAGTGCAATACAGTTCTGAGTCTGAAAGTTATTCTTCGGGTTGATGTTTGGCTCGAGGGGGGGGCCTGCAGGTACAGCGAGTAGGGTATCCCCTGGCAAGGAAGGAATGCTTTAACATTTTAAGGGCTTAATTTTGCAAGACTGTGTCATTACTGCAGAACTGCAGATGAGTAGCACCCCGTGGGGAGTGTGCAGGAAGAAACGCTGCAGGATCAACTGTAGGATCTTGCCTGAGATGGGATGATAACTTATTTTCTGAGATCAATGTGTGTTGTAAAGTTTAGAGTGGGTGAGAGAAACAGTGAAGAGACACTGACTCAAACGGTGCCAAGAGAGATGTCCTCTTTGAAGTTTGGCTGTTATACTCATCCGTCATGGGCTTTGCTTATTGTAAGCATGAGGACAGCAGCTGCAGTGACACTCCTGGATACAAATGGGTTTCTCTGGTACCGTACAGTTTCTGCAGACTGTAGTTGCTGTCCAGCGTCACTTATAGTGAAGCCGTTAGCAAACAAAAAAGAAAGCCTTGGAGAATCGGACCTTTGCTCTGAAAAATGGTTCTGTTTGTAGGAAATCTGAGTGGGCTGAAACATGGTTCCCTGCTGAGCTATCTCAGCAGAGCACAACATCCTGGCTCCACCTGATAGTCACTGTGAGTCATCGGCTTACCCACACAGCACGCCATGGCTTTGTTCCTCTTGCTGTGAGCAACACAGCAGGCCAGCAGGTCCACGACTGGTTTACAAAACGTTAATTGCCTCATTATTGTAGGTATTTGCATTCCTGTGTGTTTGTTCTGTATCGCTGTTATGTAAACAACATTTATTTTCCATTTTGGTTGAGGCTGAAGGTTAATTGTCTAAGGGTTCAAAGCACACTTCTAACAGTATTTTTGTAAGATCCCACAGCAGTGCTCATAAGAGTAAGGGTGTTAACCCCAGTGTCTTTGGCTAAATTCCTCTCTGGGCTTGAACGGTCTGACCTCCCCGAAGGGCCCTGTACATTCCACAGGTGAAGTCATTTCTCTCTCCTCTACCTGAGCTGCTGGTGCAGAGTGGCTGCTGTCTTTCACTCACGTGGGAGCTGGTCGAACTGGGTGCCCTCCTAAATGTAAAACATCCCAAGATCAGTTGGGGTGAAAAGTGCTATAAAAATGAAATGGATTACAGTTGTAAATTGTCCTTCATTCTCCTAAAGCATCTTAACATTGCCATTTGTTTTTCTTCTACGGTCTTTTCTTCTTTGCACAATAGGTAACTTGGCATAACTTTATCCGTGTACTCTTTGAAACAAACTGATGTCATAAAGTAATTTTATTTTCTGGTTAAATTTAAGAATGCCCATATAACTAACCACAATTATTTTTTATTACATTGGATACTTTTGGACAGCATGTGCCAGAACTGTATTGCTTATTTCTTTTAGAAGAACTTGAGACAGTTTGCAAACATAAAAGGCCATTTCGTTGCTACAGTAGTAGCTAATTGATTCAAGGATCTCACCAAGCTGGTTCTTATAAGAATCCAGGTACCCAGCATCACGGCTGGGTAGTTTCCAGACTTTCACAACCCTTCACATAACGATGTGCCTCTTCATTGCTGATTCTGAAGATCATAGGTTTTAACTTTGAGTATTAAAAATATTTGAATCAGGTCTCTGGTCTCATACAGTCAGGACTTGCTGTGTTCAAGACCAAAGACATTCAATTATTTTACCCTGTCATAGCAGGTCAGGGCTCAGCATTTCAAAGTAACTTATCCATGATCAGTCTTGTTTAAAGCTACTCTCTGTTTGTACACCAGTGTACAGTGCATGGGGAGCTGAAGAAAGCACATCACAGATGAATTCTTCAAGAAGTATCAATATTGTAATTTATCCAGTCTGGTGTGGAAAAGATCAGGTGAGGCACTGAGTGTTGAATCCTCGAGGGTAGTGTGGTATTGAATGTGTCGTGTGAGTAAGGGACAATCTCCACTGAATGTGATACAAATTGCAGCTTAGAAGATGCATCAACAGAGGAAGCAGACACAAGGTACTGTAAGGAGGTGTTTCTGGCTGCATTCAGAGTGAGTGACACTTTGTGGCTCGGAGTGGAAGGGGGGTCAGTGTTTCTACATTCCTATTGTGCTTCAGTCATAACACTGCATAATACTGACTCAAGCCTGCCCAGAAACTCTTCGGAGTAATTCTGCATCTCAATTCTCAATACAGTATCTCCGTCTGCTATCAGTTTTTAATGAAGGCGATTCCTACAGTCTACAAGGTAGTTTTCATCTGAATGTTGTTGACGATTCACTATAAAAGTCAAGTTCTGTACAAACACCCATACAAATAAGTGTAATGGTTCACAGTGCGTGCCTGTGGTAATTCTTGTTAAACATGTGACAGTATATTAACAATTACAGTATATTACAATATTTACCTCTGGTGAATGCAATCATTTTAATGCATGATGTTTAGTCAAGGCATTGTAAACATCCATATCATTACAACATTTCTTTTAACTATTTTTTTAACAAAATTGATTTACACCCAAGTCCTGATTAAATTAGCAGTTTCAAGTGCTGCTAATCTGCTACTGTATACAGTATACTAAAGGTTACTTTTCAGTTCAACATAATGTCACAAGAGCCATGTCTTAGACACCTGTACTGTAACAATGAGGAAAACCTTTTGCACGTATACTACTTTTACTACTGTATATGCGAGATAAAGAAATTTGAAAACATGGTGAAGAACTTCAAATTTTACAGATCATCTTAGAAAGACCTGTGTAGTCAGTTTCTAAAAGAGCATTTCCACTGATGTGAACTAAAATAAACAATGTTTCTACATTGGTCATGTGTTAAAAAGGAGGGCCAGCAGACCTAGATCAGTGCGATCTTGTACGTACTGTACAGGCCTACTGCAGGAGCCTACAGCTGACGAGACACGGCCATACTAACTGAATCTGGCCATCCTATCCTCTATCAAAGTTTCCAGACCTGCCTTTGAACCCAGCACATGAAAGAGGGAGCTTTTTATTGGAAGTGGCCATCAGTGTAGGGCTTGCCTGAAGCCTTGATTGGTATTATAAGGGCTCACATACAGTAGTTATCCTGGGGACTGTCTATGATGATTGGTCCTGCACATGTGTCCAAAAGTTAAGTCATAAAAATGCTAAGTGCTCCCACAGTTTGACCTGTACAATTCCCTTCAAAAACATTTTCCTTTTTTTGCAAATAGATTTTCATGTGAGCATTTCTTGAACTTTTGGCACCTTGGCATTTTGCATTACATATTTTATCGACGGAATGTTTGCAGTCCTTGTTTTTTATTTTTGATTTGATTAAATAAGAGCCTTATAAGCATGATTCCACTTTTACATTCAAAATTATATACTTTATATAATACCCGCTCACAGCCGAAACATTGCGTTTCCTTTCTTCTCTTTTCAGCAGGGAATAAACCTTTTACTTGTTTCCATGTACTGATTAGTACACAGAAGTTCACTACATGCTTGAATGATGCTGAAAGTTTTTCCACTGTTAATGCAATCACTGTATGTGGTAACTGGCATCGTGAAGTGTGTTAGTACTCTCACAAAATTATAGCTTTGCACTGAAATGAACTTGACAGTATAGTGATGGCTACTGGGCTAATGACAAGAACAAAGGCTACAATAAGACATACAGAGACAGAAAGGTAAAATAACAAGATGCAGATTTACAGTCTACAGTACTTGTCCCTTACATCTAGTATACAGACGATAACCATGAACTGTCAACCAAGGTCTTTGCCACTTCCTGTCCATGTTATTTAACAGTGACTGCATGTATACACTATTTTGTTAAATGTGAGTTTTGACTGCAAAATAAGATCTGATGATGGCTAACTGGTGAATTTAAAAGTCTGTGGTCAGTTCATTTCCAGCTACAGGTGTGAATCGTTGACTGCTCAAGGTTTTAAATGTACTGTGGTAGTGAATCCGTCTCTGGGTCAGAGTCCAGACATGACCAACTGCCTTTGTTTTTCTGGTATGGCCACAACATTTTCTGTAACACATTTTTGAATATTTGTTTAAACGTGATAGTTAAATATTTAAAAAAGATTGTTCCTTTTCAAATATTTAACAATGAAACATTTTAGTAAAGGAAAATCTGCAGTGGGTTTAAAGGCCATAACTGGGCTGGTGTTTCCAGCACTTTAACACTAAACTGTGAATAGGTTACATATAGTGACCTAGTGAGACCTAGCTTTCTCTGATATTTGTTTCACTGTAGCTCTGAACTACATAGGTTAATTAACTTATTTAATCAGGTTGGAACAAAAAACCAGGAGAGACAATGCTGTAAATAAAGATGTCATGGACAACACAGCGAGATAATACAAAGATCTCAGTATAATGTAATTAAACTAAATATGAAAATATTTACCTTATTAATTTAAAATGAACAAAGGAGAAAAGATTACAGTATATGGGAAATCTCATGATGAAGGTGGGAATCAGCTGATCACAGTTGGTCTGAGGCTGACTGACTGGCCCACACAATCAGCTCCTTTATCAAGTACATTTAATTACATAAACAGCAGTTGTAGAATACAGATGCAGAGGCAACCCCTTGAACCTAACTTATGTGGACAAGTGATTATGGAATTCATAATACTAACAAGTGACTCATTTTCAGACTGCCTACAAAACATGAGCCGATTCCCAGTTCAGTAATCAATGGATATTGTTTGAAATTCTTTCTCGGCGTTATAAATATAAAGCCTTCATTGAAATTAAACACTTGCCAGATAAATCCTTTATTGCGAATCCTACTGAGATTCGATTGACTTTTTGCCCTTTGAACTACAGGTTCCTGCTGAGCTCTCTGCCAGGGGATGTGGCTGCCTGCTGCACTGTCAGAAACGTGTTCGCCACCCCCCTGCTGCTCATTTCCCAGGAGCTCACTTGCTCGCGGCTCCGTCATGCGATCAGTTACCAGCCTGATTTATGTGAGAGGCAGTCCTGGCGCTCCACTGAGGAGGATGACTCAGTGTGTTTGTAAGGCGATTTAAACACACACCAGATAGGGACACACTGGAAGCTCTTTCATTCCCTCCAGCATAGCAGGATGCTTTTTTAGCACAGAATAGATTGGGAAACTGCTTAAAACACCAATAACGTGATTCATAAATGTGTTAATACTTTATGGGTACATCATAAACCTAATTCTGGGTAATGTACCATGATTCAAAACACTCCTAAACTTTTGTTGTGATATTTAATGACGTGGAATTCAGTGTGTTATACTAATATATGAGGACTGAATACTGCTACTGCAATCATGTGGACAGTGTTTACTCTGCATTGCCCTCTCGACCTGCTCCTGGGCCAGACCTCACCCACCATCTATAAGACTCAGAAGAGTAAGGTCTCAGGTACCAGGTCTGCGGAGCTGGTGAAGAGTGGGATCAGATAAGATCTTCTGTATTATTAACCACTGAAGAATTTGTTTGAGGAAGAGTGGCGTTATGACAATGTTTTATTTGGGTTTTCACTCTGAAATATTGGGCGCAATGTTTAATACTATGCAGGGGTGGTATGTACTATTTACATTTTTATTGTATTTTCTAAAGGGAGGAATTCGTAGATAGTGTTTGGGAGGGTTTATGATTTTTCTTTTTTTTTGGTGGGGTTTTGGATAACTTTTGGTGGTTGTTTCTTCTTCAGTTGGCTTAAGGAAGTATAGTAAAAGTCAGAAGTCACCTCCACCCATGGTGGCTGGTATCATTTTTTGCGCCAATGATGCTGAGCTCTTGGCTTCCTTCTCTCCTCTGATGTCTCTTCCTATGCTGCTGAGAGTCAGAGTCATCTCCTCCCAGATGTGCTCCTGTCATCTTAAGAGCAGCCTCTCTGAACCTCGCTCTTCCTCCTGAGAACCCCTCTAACTCTAATCCTCTGGGCTCCACCACCCTCTTCCCCTTCTTGTCTACAAATATCGCTGGTGTCACTCGACCTCTCCTTGCACACTTCTCCTCTGGCAATGTCCTGCCTCTTCCTCTTGAGCAACAGTCACAGAACCCACCCCTTCCTTACCAACTGTTCTGCACAGCTCCCATTCCAAGCCCTGGTGCTCTCCCTCCCAAACTACTGTGTCTCTTGGCTGGCTTCCCTGCCAGTGCTTTCCACCCAGTCCAACTCCATCCAGATCTCTGCCTTTTCTCTTCATTACTTTTCACATGCTACTCCATTACTCCAATTCCTTATCTCTCCCTGCACTCCCTCCGGCCTGCTCCTCTCCTCCTCTCCTGCCAGACTATCTGTCCTCCCCCTCAACTCCCCCACTTGCAGAGACCCCTTTCCTTCTCCGCCTTCTCCCCTCCGTGCTGGAATGAACGTCCCCCAGGAATCAGGAGAGCTCAGTCCCCGACCACTTTTCGGCGCCTGCTCAAAACCCATCTGTTCAGGCAGCACCTGTGATCTCTCAGCTCTCAAGTAGACCTTTCAGTAAGTCTTCCACTTTTACATTAAATACATTTAATTCTCAATTGGTAATGAAATTCACTGGTTGCACTTATGCACTGGAAATATGGGTGTCTGCTTTGCTGCTTTTCATCCACACAACCTGTAAATACTTGTAATTATTATGGTGCTTGCAGCTATTGTATTTTTATAGTATTTGCTCATATTTGTAATCCTATCTATTGTTTTGCTCTGTACCTGAATGCAACGCTAAATTTCATAAACACTGCAAGCTGCCATGGATAATGCATGTCATCATCATCATCATCGTTATATAGTCCTCATTAATAACTACAGGCAGCAACAATAGTGTCTAAAGAGCAGAGCTTGTAGAACACTACATCAAAAATTGACTGGAAACACTGTCGTCTTCTTGTTTGTTCCAAACTGGTGTTGGGGTTTAGCATCATATAAATATCCACGAGAATTCATGTTGGAAAAAAGTAAATTCTCCCTGCCTGAGGAGTAACCCCTCAAATAAAATCTTTAAGTGTATTACAATGATGACTTTAGCACATGGCAATGCTATGGCAGGAAGTACTATGTGCCCTTTCTCACCATTTTTTTTTTATTTTCCCAGGAAGAGAGGAAGAGGACATTGAATCAGTATCCCTGTAAATCGCACCATCACAGGTTCTGCTCCTGGCTCAAAGTCATCAGAGATTCTTAACAGGTCTGGGGAAAGACACATTCTGGGGTAAGGGCTCTCAGATACGATATAGTCTTTAGAACACAAATATATTTATACTGAATACATCCAGTATTAATACCATTATAGTAATACCATCCCACTATTATGGTCTAGACAAACCATACAGCAGGTTTCACAAGAATCCCATCCCCATATTTTTTGAGACACCTTATGTGACATGAAAGGGACACATGCTGTTGCAGTGCTGCTCAGGAGGTCACGGTTTCTGCTCCAGCAGCCATGTGTTCATGGTCAGGGAGGTGATGGCAGGAACCCGGATTACTGTCGGTACCTGGGGTGGGCATCATGCCACATGCTTGCACCACTAAAACATCTCGGCCGCTTTTTGTGGTAGACCAGTAGGACAGGAGTCTGTTCCCACACCCCCGGCCCTGAAAAGATCACATTAAAATCCTTTCATGTCAAAGTTATTAAACATTACTTTGCTTCCTGCATGGTGTTTAACCTTTCGCAGACTGTATCATGCCATGGGCAAGTGAATTTAGAATACAGCAAAAAATACTGAAATAGATACAATACAGGACAAGATGTCTGAAACGTAATGCTAAATAGCTCATACTTCTGGCTGATCAGGGGACATGAAAGGCTGGAGTTTGGTTTTCTCCAGAAAGTCTTGTTGCCTTTACCTGTGGACAGTGACGTTAATGAGGAACTTAACATTCAGCATCCATATCTTGTTTTGTCTCTGTAATGTTGAATGCAGTGGAATGAGAGTTAAGACCGGCAATGGCAGTAAAATGTTGCAAATCTTTTTCCTTCTATTATACTCCCAAACTCATATCACATTTTAAATCTTACGTACTTACTTCACTCATCTTTTTCCCCTTCCATTACTGTATAAATTGTCACAAGTCGGGTTTCGGTACTTTGCGACAAATGTCGGTTTAAAGAAATTGCAGTTCATGGTGTTATGTAACATGAAGGGTAAGGCCTACCTGGACATTTCCCTGTGAACTCAGAGGAATAACAGATGAGATGTGTGAATTTGAAAAAAAAAAATATTTCTGGATGTTACAAATATATACTGAGAATACTCATACCTGCAACTCAGTACTGAAATACCAGTACGCAGGGATTGATTAAAAATGACCTCAATGATTAGTGCCTCCATATGGAGAAACTGAAACTTGGATCAATAAGCAAGTCTGAACATCTTCAAGATGATTAGGTGAAAGGTGGACAGCGATCTGTATTCAGTAGCCTTAACTCGTGTTGGGCAAATCCAAACAAAGAGTTGCAGTTTATTTTTTCCAATCACTAAATCACTACCAAATTTTTTATACATTTCACGTACTGATGCTCTACTCATGTAAATAATGGTAGCATTGGACCTTTTCTTAGTGTTTTGTTAGGGGAATAGAGCCTGACTTGAATTAAAAGGCCTGATTAAGCCTTTAAGAAATTCAAACTCCCAGTAATATCTGCTTAAGGTCCGTGTTAAAAGGCTTACCCTTACAATATCATTAAACATGATACGTGCAGGAAAATAACAACCTGGGCCCCAGAAACAGGGAAAATGTCAGTCTCTGAAATAAATAAAAGTATTTCCAGTTCAGTACTTCCTGAACAGAGGGCAATGTACAAGTCACACAGGGCAGCTCTCGTTAGCCCTTGTAACTCTAGTCCGAGTAACTGATTGCAGTCTCGACTTCTGCTTTTGGAGGAAAACCGTCCTGTGTGCCACCTACAAATCATTATTATGAACAGAAGCATTCTTATGTTCTCTGGGGTATAGATTGCTTCATTTAGTTCCCTTCCATGATGTATGCCAAGGGCAAGAAGTCATTTAGCCTTTAATTTATTGGTAAGATGATTTACAGCTGCAATATAAACACAGTAGTGTCCCACTCTCCTCAAAGTGTACCCTACTTTAATAGTTTCATGACTAATGGCATGAAGGTGGAAAGCCTGGCAGCTGCTACAACAATTAAAAATGTAAAAGAAATGATAGCATTAACAGTGTTTGTCTCATGGAGTGTCGCCGATGCTGTAATTGCAAAACGGATTTCTCACTGTGCTACTGTAACTAGTCATGAGGTCATGAACAGGTCTGACACGAACACTTCAACCACAGAGCAGAGTCTGCACACAGGAGCCACCGCGGAACAACTCCCAGGGTGAGGAAAAGGTATGGTGAATAATTCTGAATTTACATTACGAATATGAAAATATCACAGCCTGAGAGTTGTTGACATATTAATGTTCATGAACATCACAAGATGATAAATTAATTTGCTTGCCCAAGCTGTACAGACATATCTATAGATCTCGAAGATTGCTATTGCCAGAAAAGCTTGCGGGTGGCTTGATGAGAAAAAAAAAAATCTAAAAACAAATAAACAGCTGGAATTTATACTTCAATTGAGGATTTATAAAACTTGCAGGGATCTTCGGATTAATGGTAAGGAGGTATCCGACTGTTTTGAATAATCATATTAGGTTTTCACAACTGCAGAAACATTAATTTAGAAGATAGTATGGTTTCTGCAACTTAAGGATATGTATACAAGGAATTTCATAGAATCGGTGTGTAAAAGTTAATTGGAATTCATCTGTAAATAACAGGAGAGATAAAATCTGGCTGATAAGGATGCAGGATAAGGAACCACTCAGAATTAGAAAAGGACATTAAGGGAAAATAATACTGGCTTAAATCTCTGCCCCAGCTTTTCACGGTCGGTGTGAAAGGAACTCTACAGTACCTCTTACAAAGTTTTCCCCTCTTCATCTGAGTCACCCATGCCTGGTTACTGGCCACAGTTGTTCCTTCCACCAGTAAGAGGTGTCAAACACTGAAACATTCACAGGCCGCCGTGACTCACGATGAGGAGTAGGCCGGTCTTTAGAAAAAAACCTCGGTTTCCTCAGGCAGTGTCCATATCCTAGAGTCGCTGTACACTCATTGTTTCCTTCAGAAGTGCTGAGACGGTTCCAGATGTAACTTCTTTCTCCAAGTCATGTCCGCTTGGCCCAGAGTGAAAGTGCACTTACAGTGCACTTCACAGGACAGGGTGGTTTTGTACACCCACTTGTTTTTGAGTAACAGGGAAATTACTTTTGCAGGAACATCTTAAGGATATACAGTATGTGATTTTCTCCTTTTCTGCCAGAAGAATGGTTGTGATGAGTTATTTGTCAGAGCTCTTAGCATGTTGCAGCATTAGGTACTGTTCTTTGTCATCCCCATGTCATGCCAAATTATTCATCCCTTTGCACAGCCCTTTGTGGTTCCCATGGCTAAAAAATAAGTCAAAGCCCATCATGCCTGTCCAAGACAGTGCTGGCCGATGTCACATCTGCTTCCCATATCACACAAAGTCAAAAAGCATTTGGACATTATCTTCCCCAATTCAAGCACACAGTAAAATGATTTAAAGGTAACTTTCAATGTCCCTGCCTTGCTGCTCACTGGATGACAAGTAATAATTAACAGGGATTCGCAACAAGCGGACATGTGATGTGTCGTGAATATGCTGTGAGTATTCTCAGATTTGATGTGATCTCTATGTGATGGGAGCTCTCCTGCATGGACCATCACATTGCTTGATTTCTTCCTCATCAACAGCTTTCCCTGCTGAGTCACATCTGACATACTGTACTCCACCCAGTATTTTGTGTCACTCAGCTTGGCTTGAATGCAGATATAGCAACCAGATCTTTGTTCACTGATGATAATGTCCCAAGGTAATCAGCCTCTCTCTTTTAATAATTCCTCTATAGGACTCTCATGCACTTTTTGTGCTGGTGGGGATTCACTTCGTCCACCTCAGTTTGACAACGTGTGGCAGTCATTCTATGCCAGCAGCCCCACTGCACAGCAGCTCTGGTGCTGACGTGAGGGACTGGTGCCTCTTGTTACCACACACTGGGGCAGTAGTTTGAAACTTCTGGTCCAGGGCGCCACCTGCTGGGCTACCTGCACCATTTACAGTAGCAACCTGGTTTTCCTTGAAGATCTCCTGTCCCGGGACTGACCTGGACCATCCTTGTCCAGTTTTTAAGATCTGACAAAACTAGGATACAAGGTGGTAAGTACTACATGAATCTTTTAAAATACTGTAGTAATAAGGGAAAATGTGATATACCATTTCTGAGTCTTATTCTTCCACTTAAGAGTGTTTGTTTTGATTCCAAAATAAATCAGAGTAAAAAAAAAAACAGACTGAACTCACTCATGTGCTACAATTGCTCAAGCGCAGTGCCTTCTGATTTCGACATAACATTCCTTGTACTGTCCAGGAGTGAGCTTTCAACATCTTGTGTGCTGCCAGGTTGGTGTGGTGGTCTGTGCAACTGCTTTGCGGGTCTTGGGTCCTGTGGCTGAAGTATACCCTGCAATGGGCTGACATCCACAGCCTTGATTCCACCCCTGAGAGCATTCTGTGTGGAGCCGGCACGCTCTCCCTGTGTCCGAGCACTATTCCAGTGCTCCAGTCTCCTCCTTCCACATACCTTCCACGTGAATGGTGTCTCTAAATTGTGCCCCCTGTGAGCTCCACCCTGTGTCTGCCAGGTTAAGCTATAGCTCACTGCCACATTCAAGGAATAAAGCAGTTTCTCAAAACTGTCCATGTATGCTGACACACATTGTAAAAATTGCCGTCGAAGAGAGCCCCCTTTTTTATTCTGATAAGACATGTCAGCTGTTCATTTTCTATACATGGGAGATGATATAAAACAGCATACCGCGTACGACTCTGTGAGATATGCCTAATAAGCACTTGTAGCATGTGAGTGAATGAAACCTACACCTTTCAAATAACTGTTATTTAGCCTTGTCTGGGAGCACTTAATGTCACACAGTCAAGGTAACAGAAATGCAGGTATAGGAGAAACATGGTGAAGAAAGAGAACAGAAATACTGAAATACCATTCAAGTTTCTGTGATGCCAGCTGTAACTTTAGGAGAAAATAATAATAACTGGTAACCCCCAGCCCCACCAAAAAAGAAAATACAGTCTTCTTTGTAGTATCAAAAATAATCAACATTTTTAGTTTTAAGAGGTTATAGCCTGTCTGTTGTTCAGTATTTGACATCAAGCCTGACCTAGGAATTTTACTCTACCTTGAATGAATCAGAGCGAGATGTCACCAAAATGTGCTTTCTCCACAATTCTGAAAATCTGCTCCTTGGCAGCTGTTTGTCAGACATACTCATGGAAGTCGAGAATAACAGAAAAATTTCAAGATCTGAATTGGTATGGTCTCAGATCACTTACCAGCAAGGACAAAAATGCACCCTATTTCAGGAAACGTTTGCCTTCTTAAGACCTGATTAGCTATCCTCGTGGTTTCCATTCTGACATAAAAAAATACACACATGAAATGTATAAACATTTGATTAACTGTTGTTTCAGCTGATTTCAACAGAGACAAATGTAACGACCATACACGGACTCTAAACAATGGAAAGTTGAAGGCCTGTGTACTCTGTATGTTACAATTACATCGTCTGGCATCCAACAACAAGGATAGAGATTTCTGGCACATCACCCACCCAACAACAAAGACCCAAACCGAAGAGTCATGAAAGGTTTACACAGAAATATCAAGCTTCAATCACGTTTGATAAGTTGCAAATTGCAGCTAATGCTGCATTTGTTATTTCAGCTGCGGGGAATGACCAGGAGGAAGTCAAAAACATCGCGCAGGCATGAAACCGAAGAAAAAAAGTCTAAACAAAACAGAGTGAAACAGTGCAGCACACTGGACAATAACAAATCTCACTATGATTTGTTATTTGGTCCTATGGGGGACAGGAAGAATGCAGTTCCCAATCTGGATATATTCTTCCAGGAACATTACCAATCAAGGATCCGTTACCAACTGTTAATGGAATACTTGTTGCATCTTTACTTTCTTCCACAATGCCCTGACCACACTTGGACTCAATCTTCGCCTGAGGGAATGTACGCGTGCAGATATGTGTACAGTATATAGCCATTGCCATGACTTACAAAGTGTGTACCCAGAATGCCATTACTCACGCCATCGAAATGTGGGCAATGTAAAATGCACCAAGAGACACAAAAAAAATCCATGAAAATTGAAAAAGAAGTCTCTTCTCGGTTGGCCTACTGATTCAAAAAAGAAAAGAGTAAAAACACACTGAAACATATTAAAGTCCAAAACACCTTTTGGTTAACCTGATGTTGCATAATTACAGTATGTAGTTATTAACAATTGGACATATACTGTATATAGCCTTTTGATCCTATTTCTGTGAATAACCAAAGGACTGCAATTTATCAGAATTCACGTTTGACGGTATAGGGTACCAAACTCAAATAAAAAACATTTTCAAGAAGTTCTTTGTCCCCTCTAATGTATCCATCTAACGTTCAGTACAATCAGTCTGACAAATGGTCTATCTACTGTTTACATATATGTTTAATTTAGATATACAGTATAATGTGTTTAAAAAGCCACAGCTATTAAGCTCTAAACTAATTTATATGTAAATATGCAATATGTACCCTGAGTGTAATGAAAATTCAGCTGTAGAGCCCCGGGAAATGTCGAGTTTTCTTCAGATCTATTCAGCATATGTGTCAGAAGCAGGGATGACCTTGCTATTTGGAATTTAACCTTTCTGCTAAACATGCACTGTGTCCGTTGACCTGGGTTATTAAAATGTGACAGGCATAAAGGGGCATTCTGACATCTGCGCTTACCCCGAATCACCTTCGGGGAAAATTCTTTGTCCTTGAGCGATCTTTTCAAGTTCTGTCCTTGACTCACTGCATGAATATTTCATGAAACTATGGACCAGAAAGCATGGAAAACAGAATGATCACTTTTTTTAAAAAAAATTTGGCCTGTATTTGCAAATAACTAGGAGAGTATTAGCCGCTTTTTATAACTTTGCCAAACAGTTTGCAAATTCTGGCAAAGGACAGAATAACTTTTTTAAAAGAGGCAATCAATTTTGGTGGTGTTGATACAAACTGCCTTTAGCCTTCTATTAATTTAAACTGCCTGGTCTGATACCATATTTTGTTGTTATATCTTGTGAGCTGCTCCAACAGCTCGTCTGAGCACTACAGTGTTTGTAATACTTAAATACTGTACTTCCAATGAGAAAAAACCCCCATAAACAATTCTGAATAACCTCAGGGCAGAAACAGTTCACAAACCATCTGACCTTCTGCTAGTTGCTTTAATACAGCATGGGAGGACACGAGTGAAATCATAAAATCTTATTGTGAAGAATAAGGTGGATCTAAACGGAGGGATTAATGTGCCAGTAAAGTATTATAATCAGCTAGATGTCTGTTCACGTATTTTTCACTCACGAGTGTGTGTGTGTGTGTGTGTGTTTTGGGTAAATTGCTAATTGTAAAACATTTTTATATTCTGTTTTCCCTTTCGGTTTTCATGGTAATAATTTTTAAGTGCTTTCATAATACATTTCATGTTGTTGTTGTTGTTTTAATTTCCTTTACCTCCCAATACAGTCCTTATTCTTCCTTTTTATGTGGTTGCTGAAGGGGGGTCACTTGGCAGTGGTCTCTTCAGTTAAGTCTTCTTATAACATTTTCAAATGAATTACTGAGTGAATTGTGAATTATTCTTAGTATTTAAATCATTGTTCTTTTTTAAGGATAATCTTCTGTATCTGCTTGGTTTCCGTTTTTTTTAACTTGTAGACCACTCTGAGATGATTGCTTTTGAAATGCATTATATACACATGAAGTCAAATTAAGTTCACTAGACTGCATTTATGTTTCATTCCACCACTTAGAACAAAAAAAAAATATTTTTGCAACTGGTACGATGTCCTTGAATGTACTGCAACACACTGTACAACAATCTTAATGTGGAAATCAACAGGCAGCATATTTCCGGTCATGGTGGACAAGAAAACGCTACACGAATACAAATAATATTAACGACAGATCTTTTAAATAGATCACCAGAACCTAGACACTTATTTTGTATATATTGATGAATTGTTTCCATTTCATTTTGTTTCATTTTCACTAATTGGCAACTTACTCTGTGTTTACATGAATACATTTGCCGGTCATTTCTGACTGAGAATGAGAAAAAAAAGTGTTTCCCTCCAAGCAATACGCGACATGATAAAACGACGTGCATTACAATGTAGCAAAATAATAATGTACATAGGACATACCAGGAGCACAGTGACTGAGCAGCCAGTGAAGGCTTCATGGTGTCTTCGGCATATTCACCTGACCTCTCTCTAGCTGCTGCTCTGCTCTTGGCTGAAGCCCAAATGTCTCGTTATGAGACGTCGCTAATAATCTCTTACCTGTAATGCACATTAAAAAACCGTTGCTTCAGTGTTACAGTGCTGTTGTGCAGTATTTCTGAACCAGCTGTGCGATGGGTTTTTTGTTTTAGATTTTTAGCCTCATTACAGCGTTACCCATTTTGCGAACTCCGCTGTGAAGATGAGTGGCTTCTGGTGTGTTTATCTCTGGAGACATTTCCTTCAATCGAAGAAACAGATGGACTTGCAATCAGGAGAGGTCTGGGCTGAGCGCTCCAAGAGCTGCTCATGGGTTTTTCATAAACGTTTATTCATAAAATATCACTTACGGGTTCAGCATGTGTTTATCTTCCGGATCAGCAAGTTCAATACAGTATGTATGGCCAGAATTGATGCAGGATCTTTAGTACACGGGGCTTTTCCGTTGACTTGCACGTAATGTTTTCGTGCATTAAAAAAAAAATTAGCTAGCCTGCTTGCACATTCCTTATTGTTTGGGGTTAAGCTGTAATCTTAAAAAAAATAGAGTGCACGTGTCAAACATATTGTTACACAGATTATTTCGTAGAAATTCAATGTGTTTAAAAAAATTATACTGTGATCAGCACGAGCAAAACACTAAAGATTCTGGCCATCAAATGCAAAATATGTGAGCCTTAAAATAAATATTAGACATAGCTGATACAAATTCGTGAGTAATTCAAGACATTGTTTTTAATTCTAAAATCACAAGAAGTTTCACCAGTCTTCAGAATACTTGAATATGTATACAGTACTTAACAGGAAACTACTGGTTACTTTACCGAATCTCACTTGTCACGCGAGAATCTCTAAAAGTAAGCGAATCTTTAAAGGTATTTTTGTGTATGAAGTACAAATAACATTTTTTTCAATAATGTGTTCTTAAACAAGAAATTAATGATTTGTTATATCCTCAGGGCATTTAATACATGCAAATTTTAAAAGCACTTTTTTGCTGCTGTTCTGTTTATCACTGTTGGAGTATTAGTAATCAAAGCAATATACAGTAGTGTACTGTAGATGCTGATACTAATAGGACTATTTCTATTTTCCTCGGCAGGGGGAGCAGTTCTGCCTGTTGTCATTCAAATTTCCTGTATTTTGTCTGACAAACAATTTAGAGAAGAGTTCAGGACAGGATTTTATAATGGCCATTTGATCAGTTTGATTAATGCTGCTCAACCAGTGTAGATAATTTATCTACTATCTGACAGTTAAAAGATCGATTTTTTTCCACTGTTTCCGGGTATTTTCATTAATTTTGATTCATTGCTCAAAACCTTCATACAGTATGTCTCCAGGGGTATAACAACATCCAAAACCCCAAAGAGATTTCTTTACTTTTATTTCAAATACTTTTATTTTTCATTCTGTCCAGCCAAATGTAAATCTCACTGATTTCCAGCCATAAGGACATGGGGACTAATGACAAATGTGAAATACTTTAACAAAGTCTTAAATAAATAATTGATCATTCAGAGGAAATCACCACCCTTGTGCAAATCCTTTCCATTCATAAAAATGCAAGATTTGTGAATCATTTTAATAGTTATCTGCTTTCTTCATGGGTGAAATGTACATATAAAAAGAGAGAAATATGCTTCAACATGTAATTCTCATTTAGCTTAACCCATTAATATAATAACTGTCTAGAATTCTGCAAAATGTTTGTGGAGATCTTACTACGGTAGATTATTTTATGAAGAAAACTCAAACTAAATGTTTATTTATCAGGCCACACTACTCCAACTTAAGTGAACAATGGTTAACCACTGCATTTGTGTTAGAAAACATGAAACTGCCCAGAAATGTCCAAGTGTTGATTGGAAGTAGCGGTCTGAGGTTTCTCTGGTGAGGGACAGAAACGTACTTCAGTTAACAGCTCCTAATATGCAGACAGTATCAGTTATTACTCTGGCAACGTGTTGAAAATCCAAACTGCCCTTCCTCCCCACTCCATGAATAAACCTTCAAGGGAAAACAAACACCCAGAATGGATTTCGGGTGGGCCAAAGGTTAATAAAACAGATTTTATTAAAATAATGTAAACACAAAATTCCTGTTACCTTGTCAATCATTGCATGACACTGACAGATGATGATTATAAAGACTGATGGAAGAATACTGTCACCAAAGAGTCCCACTTCTTTGGATTCAGCACTGCAGAAATCGCCAGTTTGAGCTCGTCCTATTAGCATGTCAATGTCCCTCTATCAGACAGTGTAAAGATGTCTAGCCTGCCTCAGCTGGAGAAACAGTCAGTGAAAGGTAGCAGTGCTGAAATATAACGGCATCATTCGTATTGGTAGTTTGTGCTTTTTTGTGTTCAGACACCATAAGTGTAATAGGTAAATTCAATACCCTTTCATCGTTCCTTCAGGAAATCTGATCAGCAGTTGCTCATTATTAAGGGTATGGATATTAATTAGCTCTCGGTCTAGTCACAGTCAGACTGTGTTACAACTTTTCATTCTAGCCTTTTGCAAAAATAAAGTCAAAGCTAGCAGACAATTTCACCTTATTAACACTCTTTAGAGTGACATAACTAACCTTATCTATCTTCACTATTGCTAATCTATTTTTTAAATAGATCAGAGTCTTAATTAGCTCTTCGTTCAATCGCAATCCTGCACAGGCTCTTAGATAGGATTTTTTATGCACCGAGAGATGGAATGAAAAGTAATGAGATGGTACATTCAGACATTCATACTCATAAGTCACTGTGATGGCTGCTCTTAACTCCCATCCTAACTTGGAAGGGTGTCCATTTTTGCATACCTGGCATGTTTCAGGAGTATACAGTTGCTATAAATTACGGGATTCACATTCTACCTTAGACAAAATTAGCAGACTTGGGCTGTCATTTAACCCTTATTTAGGCTCATCATAGATCAATGAATTTAAAATCGTACTTAAAAACATCACACATAAAGTTATGTTTTTAAAGCTTGTTGTACTTTTACATAGAGACGTTTCAGAGTTTTGCAAATTGTTGCATTGTTGCATTGTTTGTACAGTCACCATTTTGACAACTAAACCTTTTCATAATGCGATTCAGCGCTTCATCACTTAACCCTTCAATAAAGGTGTCAGTAGACAGGGGACTGACCTCCCAGAATGCCTAATGAATTTGCCAGATGATCTGAGGAGCTGTAACAGTGCAGGTGGAGACAGTCTTTGCTCTGACATGGATAATCCAGAGAACAGACTTTTCTCTATTCTTTGAAGAATGCCACAGGCAGCCGACCAACACTCATGTCATCAGCAACACCAGGAACTGCCATTAACGCTACATGCGTGTAGCAATGCTAGGAACTAAGAACTTCAAAAGCCATTCAGTAAGGAGTTCTGTGCACATTCCTCTTGTGGATGCCCTTTTCTTGTTTTTGGAGGGAATAAAAGCAAACACATCTAAACGTCTTAATTTTAAACAATGTGTTATGTTTTTTTTTGTTAATGATCAGAATTCTGCACATTGTCTTAGCCAGAGTCAACAGACAACCACAATCACAACAGTCTGGCTGTGACTGGAGACTCCTTGAGTTTCGTTGGTGCTTAAAATGCGATATTGAAGGAGTATCAGAGTTTGCTTAAGTTACGATCTCTTCAATAGGTTTCAAAAGGCTTCATATACAGAAGTCATCCAAACATAAAGGGCAGGGCAGGAACAGAGTTTTGGAGACTGCCAATATTGTGTATTGCTCAATTACAGTGAATGCCTAAAGGATCTACAATGAATAGGGTTATGAACATTTTTATGCTTTTGAAGTTTTGTGCATGAGCTGTAATCTACCCTCACAGTGCAGAGGTTAGGGGAGATGGATTCAAAACAGTTGCCACAGAGGTTGCAGAAAATGAGGCATGAAAGAAAGACAAACAAGGTTTTATTTTCCCCAAAAATTTTCTGTGCACCATTTTCACCAGCATCTGACCCACTACAACATACTTCAGAGAGATGGCAAAAAAGTGCAATTTCAGGCTCTCCTGTGTCAATGAGACTTAAAAACAGACTTTTTGTCAAACACACACATAATTCCTTTCATTCAAGCTTCAGACGGCTGCTCACTGGGGTAACATTACTAATGCACCACATAATCATTTTTTCCTCACTCCTGTCGGTCTTGTGAAGTCTCTCAGGGAGAACACAGAGTGCTAGGATACAGTGGTTATTAGCACCATGAGATAACGGGGATCACTGAGGCAAGTAACGTCATTGTCTGTTTACTCTCCCAGGATGTTGGCACTGCAGAGGCATTTTTCAGGCTTTGATGATGCTGATGATAGGAGCAAGAGTCCCTATACTCTTCCCTCCTCTTAAATACGCCTACTGAAAAGAAGGCAATGTGTGGCACCTACAGTATAAACCAGTACCTAATCCTTTTCACAAAAGAAAAGTAAAACCCTTTTTTAGACTGGGATTTGAAGCAAAATGGTATTCTCTCACTTTCTTTTCCTGATCTGTGTGCTGTTATCACATCCGTAGAAAACTACTTTGATATGGCAAAATATTCATTTTTGACATGGTAAATAATGCAAAGAAGTATCTTTGCAAATATATCTGGTTTATTCAGAAGGACAGATTTTTTTTCTGGTAAAGCCTGTAGTTTTATTATTTTGATGATGCAATGAATGATGATTGATGACTCCCATACTGGCTCTGAGTGGGACTCCTGTGCTTCAGTGAGCCACTGAACGGTCTAGCTCTGGGTTATCTTAAGAACATGTTATGTGAGTTATGCTATTAGCAGTCATCTATTAATCTGAGATCTGCTGATTCAGGCCTTCTTGTTCTGATGAAGCCCAGGCTACATACAGTATGGGGTGACAGAGCCCCTTTTGCAGTGGAGTCCAAAACCATTACACACTCTGTGACAGTCTATAGTTTTAAAATCACTAAAACAGCTTTCTTTTCCATAGCTATTAATGTTTAATCTAATTTTACTCTTGATTTTTTTTATTTCAATGTGCTGTGCTTATCTTTTTTCATTCTTTTTGATTTGTATTAATGGAGTTTTAAATTTAAATTTAGTATTACACATTTCTGCTTTCCTGTTACATACTGTACATATCTCATCTCCAGAGCATCCACTCAGATGTTCTCATCCAGGGTTCGGCTTTGCAAAAATATCCACTTGCCACACTCCCCCTCCTCCAGCCCTCTGAAGATTTGGTCCTTCCATCTCTTGCAGGCCATCCTGGAGCTCCTTGGAGCTGTAGCTCAGGCGTGC